AGCCTCCCACAAAGTGCACAACCTGCAACGTTTTCTAGGCTTTGCAAATTTTTCCCGAAGGTTCATCTCAAATTCTTCAAAACAAACTGAGTCCTTCACTTGCCCGTGTTGGATTCAGCAACAAATCAAACCAGACACCTGTGAGCTCCAGCTCTCTCAAACCCTTAGAGTCCACCCTATATTCTATGTCTCACTCCTAAAACCCTACACTGAGAACACATATCCGAACAGAGCCCAATCACTGCCCCCACCAGTGCAAGTACAAGGTGAAGAGGAATACATCATCCTCAAAGTCCTCAATTCCAAGATCAAGCATGGTAAACTGTGGTACCTGATTGACTGGGAAGGCTATGGCCCAGAGGAATGCACTTGGAAGCCAGTGGAGAATGTTCACGCCCCCATGTTGGTTCAGACCTTCCATAGGAGCTACCCCGAAAAACCTGGAACCATGTAACCCAAAGGGTGCCCGTAGGGGCAAGGGTGATGTCATGACCCACACACCTCAAACCTGGTTCCACAGGAGCAGCCATGCTTCAACCCTCCACTCAGCAGCCAAATGGCCCCTTGGTCCTACTTCTGCCAGCAACAGGAACAGGAAGCTGTCCAAACAACTGGGATCCACCCTCCTCTGTGTACCTTGTTCTTCTGCCTCCTGCTCCCCCGGCTTGACTCCCTGGCATCCTGACCTCACTTGGCTCCTGACCTCTAACACATGGTTCTGCTCTCTGGTTTGTGTCCTGCCTCTGACCCCCTGGCACCCTGATCCAGCTGACTCTCGACTCCTGACTGTGGACACCGGCTCTGCCCACAATCCAGCCTTGACAGTGGCAGCCCTTCTTCCTTGAGCGAAGGAAATCACCCTCTCTCTGTTGGGCCTCTTTTACATGGAGACACAATAATGGGAAGTGGCTCCCATTGTTCTTCTGAGAACAAATTACATTTTGCTGCAAGTGCAACAACACAATTATATGCAGAGATTCAAGGGCCATTGCACAAGGAATTTGGGGCCCATAATTTACAAATCTTTAGATCTGAATTTCCCCTTGTTTTATACAGACAAGAATATATGCCCTGTTCTTTTTATATTGTGGACCTATATTAAAAGCAGTGTTTAACTGCTCAGAACTGAGGAAATCTGTTTTAAAACTTATGACACTCTGATGTCATCAGGAGGAAAACTTACAGAATCACTCTTGACCTAATTTTTAATTATTTTTTTTAAACATTAATCCAAATCTTGCCCAATGCAATGCCCCATTGGTATCTTGACAGACTCAGAGGATTGCACTTAATTTGCAAGCAGACTTCTGTGCCACGATTTTTTAAAAGTGAGGCTCCTAAACCTTTATTTAGCCACCTAAATATTTAGCTGAATTTTCAAAAGTAAAAATCTTGGCCTAGCAATCTCATCTTTAATACAAAGGTGTGGTCCATAGAAACGACAGGTCCCAGTATGCAATGCTTCATATTGATCTAAATAGCATGCTGGGACATGTAGTCTTTACGGTCTGCAGCAGGGGAGGATCTGAAACCCCTGCTTTAAATTGTTACAGACATGGGAAAATACAATCAGTGTCCTATACAAGAAGAATTCACACACTGCCACATAACTCAGAGGGAGAGAAACACAAAGGCCATGTGTAACAGGGTGCTGGCCAGGAGGTCCTGAGCCAGGCCCCTGTTAGCCCAGCTCCAATTAAGAAGTATTAGTTGGGGCTGGCTGGGTATGCCACTAGGAGGGCATACTTTATTTCACTAGGAGGGTGGTGAAGCACTGGAATGCGTTACCTAGGGAGGTGGTGGAGTCTCCTTCCTTGGAGGTTTTTAAGGCCCGGCTTGACAAAGCCCTGGCTGGGATGATTTAGCTGGGAATTGGTCCTGCTTTGAGCAGGGGGTTGGACTAGATGACCTCTTGAGGTCCCTTCCAACTCTGATATTCTATGATTCTATGATTCTAATTGGTGGAACAGAAGCACCCAGGGGCCTTATTAGCCAGGGGTTATATAAAGCTGGCAGGAAAGAAGTGGGGGGAACAAGGAAAGGGAGGAGCCACAGGCGGTGCATCCCTGCTGGCTGGAGAAGCTCGCTGTCCCCCAGGTTGCTGGTTTACAACTGTCTGTAAATAGAAGGTGGTGGGAGCTGACACGGTTAATAAAAAAGCTCTGGTGATTGCAGTTAAAGGAGGTCTCTGGCTGATTTGTGCGAGGGTGAGCGAAGGGCCTTGTTACACCATGGTAGCATGATAAACTGCTATGAACTGTGAAGTTTTAGTCACAGCTATTTTCCCCCCAGCTAGCTACCAAGAGCTGCCAAAGAGATAGAGAATCCATCCTTTCCCTTAGTAGTTTGTTCCAATAGTTAAATCAACCTTCATTGTTAAAAATGTGTGCCTTATTTCTAATCTGAATTTGTCTGGTTTTAACTTCCAGCCACTGGCTCTTGTTATGCCTTTCTCCACTAGATTATTTCTCCCAGTTATTTTCTCCCCGTGAAGGTATCATAATGAAGTCTCCTCTTGATGTTCTTTTTGATACACTCAACAAATTGAGCAACTTAAGTCTTTCCCTGTAAGGCACTTTTTCCAGCCATCAAATTATTTTTGTGGTTCTTTTCTGCATCTTCTCCAATTTGTCAACATCCTCTTTCAAATGTGGACACCAGAAACTGATGTATTCCAGTCCTGGTCTCACCAGTGCTGTATACAGAGGTAAAACCTCTCACTCCTACCCACTACTTCCTTACTCATACACGGATTGCATTAGCCCTTTTTGCCACAGCATCACCTTGGCAACTCATGTTCCGCTGCTTGTCTACTGTGACCCCTAAATCCTTTTCAGAATCATTACTGTTCAGGATACAGTCCCCCATTCTGTGCGCATGACCTGCATGCTTCGTTCCTAGGTGCAGAACTTTGAATCTGGCTGTATTCAATGCATTTTGTTTGAATGGGCCCAGCTTACCAAGTGATCCAGATCACTCTGTATGACTGCCCTGTCCTGTTACTGCTCCACAACTTTCTGTAATCTACACATTTTTTTAACCATGATTTTATATTTATCCCAGATCATTAATAAAAATACTGAATAGCATTGGATCCCGTACTGATCCCTACAGAACCCCACTAGAAATAGTAAGTCAGATGCCTTACAAAAGTCTAAGTATATTATATCTGCAGTTATCTCTATCAACTAAATTTATAATCTCATCAAAATATGAAATCAGGCTTCCTAGGCAGGACTACTTTCCATAAACCCATGTTGACTGACATTAATTATATTCCCACCTTTTTTTTTTTATTGATTCTATTAATTTGCTTGGGGCTGATGTCAGGTTAACCATTCTATAATTACATGGGTCACCCCGTTTGTGAATACTGGCACAACACTCACTCTTCCAGTCTCCTGGAATCTTCCCAGGATTCCATATTTATTGAAAATTAACATCAGTGAGACAGAGATCTCCTCAACCACCAGTTTTTGAACCCTGGGTGCAAGTTATCTGGGCTTATCCCTAGGAGTGCTGACATTCTTCTGAGCTGTGAGTGGACTGAGAAGTATTTCATCATCCTCATGTGACAGGAAAAGCATATCCTGTGTCTTTCCAATACAGAACAGAAATATTTACTGAACATTTCACCTCTGCCTTTTCTACGTGAACAATTTGACCATCCCCATCTACTAACAGGCCTATACCAATTAGACTTTTGTTCCTAACACATATGAAAAACTCCTACTTGTTCTCCTTGAACTCTTTTTAGACAACATTCGATTACTGTTTATATTTTTCCTCCTCATCAATTTCCATCATAATTGTCCTCAGCTTTGGGAAATATGCCAATATATTACTGGTTGTGATTCTCCTCTGTCCCTATGTAACCACCAATTTCCTGTCCAGTGATCAATTCATCTTTATCTAGCATGGAATACCTTTTGTGTTAGAAAAATATACTTTGTTAGACAAGCCAGTGATGTTTTACCGGTGGTTGAATGTGACCTCCAGTATACATCTCCCAGAGTATGCAATTCTTCTTGCCACACAATATGTGCTTAAGGAATATAATTTCCCCTCCTTCTTTCTGACCCCAAGTTCTTTACCAATATTCAATCAGCTGAACTTACTCTTCAGTTTGCTACAGAGAGCTCGAAGGGCATCTGATCACCAGGAACTTCTTAAAGAAGTGCCAGTTTAGATAAAATGATAAGGACTCTCCCTATCTGCACACTGCTGATTAGGCAGGGTCAGCTAAGGACACCAGAAATCTCAGACAAACTACAAAATCAAACCACCTCCCATTGCATCAGCTGGTAAGAGACATTGTGAAATGTGGGTAGTCTCATACTGGAATCAATTATCCTTTATTTCCTTAACTCAGTTTGCAAAAATCATTTTTTTTCTTTCTATACTTTATGGGCATGATTCTGATCCTATCAAGGCCAACTGAGTTTTGCCACTGACCTACATGGAAACAGAACTTGGTTCTGTGTGTTTTTCTTTTCAGGCAAGTTCAACGCAGCCTGTTTAAAAAAAAAAAAAATTAAGTAAACAAGCCTATGCCAGTAATCCAGTGCTCACAAGTGACCCTGGAATGACAAACCAGGATGCAGACACAGATACTGAGCAATCATACGCACTGCTCACAAGTAACCCTACAACAACAAAGCCGTATGTGAAATGGGGGAAAAGGCATTTGGCACTGAAACATTTCAATTTCAAGCTTCCAGGATAACGTGAAATAATATGTATAATCCGAAGTGATTTGGCAACGCCCTTTTACAAACACTGGGTTGTGTCCAGAAAAGCTGTATTTTTATTGTTAAACCAAAAAAGGAAAAAGTTTGGCCGTTGTTCCATTTCACGGCCAAAGAGAAAGGCATCTAGCTGGTCTTACCTCTTACCACAATAGCAGAAACTACAAGCAAGCCCTCCAAAAAAAACAACCACCTAGCTCCTTACAAAGGAAAGTTTGTTAGCAGCTGCCTAATCAAGTAACTTCATCTTACCTTGGAGAGGAATTTCGTAAGGCTGCTCTCTCAACATTGTTTCTCGTTGTGAAGATTTGCAATCAATGTTCCAGGCTTCCGCTCACCCTCAGCTAAGATGCATGGATTCTAATTGCAATGTACAAGGTTTGTTTTTAAATTTTTTCCCCTATGCTCCTGATTGGCTCAGGGTAATGCCCATGTGGGTCTACAAATGCTGGGTTTCTATCCATTTTAAAATCAAAGTGTCAGTTTTGCTGCTGTCAGAGCTCTTTATTTTTGTACATATAAGGAAGTGGCTGTTGATGTTATCTGAATGTGTTTCCTGTTTTATATGTATATGAGCAAAAATGATGTCACATTAAACTACACTGCAAAGTTCCACAGAGCTCAACTCAAAGCCTCTAAGCAAGGGGAGGGGGAGAGAACACAGCTCATCTGTTCACCCTCTAACCCAGTTTGCAGTCACTTCACTGATCCCTGTTAGAGTTCTGTGTTCTCCCCTTGCAGCTTAGTTTTTGCATGCTGCACCAACATTGCTTGCTATTGCAATTAACAGCCCAGTTCAAATTACACAGGACTCAGTTTGTGTTCACATGAATAGAATATAACCCTCAAAGGTCTCTTCAATGAGATACAGATGTAAAAATGATCAGTGACTACCTGGATATTTTACAATTGTAGGTCCCTTCTCAGCTGCAGACTGCATTTTGACTACATCTGAATTACAACAATTGGAATTTTAAGAGGGAAAGTAGACCAAGTTACAGGCTCGATGCAGGAAGTCAGACTATGATCATAATGGTCCATTTTGGCCTTGTAATCTATAGCAGGATGTGAGACTTAATTCATTTGTTTTTAAAGCACTGAGAGACCCTTAGAGAAAAAGTACTTAACGGACCAAATATGAATATTGTTATCTTGTGAGAGAAAAACAACCCGTTCTCTCGCTGAAGTCTAAAAGGAAAACAGTGCCATACTGTCCTGCTCACACGTAGACATGTGGCTTCTGGGGTGGCCTACAGATCTGACCAGAGATAGATTTTTTTTTGCTCTCCACTGCAGCCTGGGGCCATATAAAACTCAGGTCCCTCTCTCTCTCTCACTCCTCTTGTTTTTTGGATGCCTACCTTTGCATTGAACGCCTTTTGCAAACCCTCTGCATAGGGTTGAATTCAGACTAAATAAAATTTGCCCTTCATTGTGACTATTTCTCACATGGCTGTTTCAGTGATAAGCTGTAGGAAGTCAACAACCACACCAGGGGTTTTCCCTAGCTAGTTTTCGCTTTGCTAGTGATTTCTTTAGTTTTTGGTTTATAGTCTTGCACGTTTCCTCCCTTTATTATTCTCCCTTTATTGCTTCTCACATTGTTACCATCCACCCCTTATGGTGGCAACAGTAAAAGAACCACCATGTGGATGGAAAGAATAAAAGAATCACCACTGAACATGGCTTGTCGCTCTTCACCAGAACTGTCTGTCTATACCAGCTCGTTGGGGACTCCACAGACACTGAAGGGGTCACTCACATATAGATGTCACCTTTAGTTAAAAAAACAAAACAGCCCTGAAAGATTCCCTGCGATACTTCTCACCCCAGAATGCATTCTTTGGAGTCCAGTCAAATAACAGCTGTCTTCAGTGTCGTTAGGTGGTTTAGACTTGCTACATTGTGGGTGCCTGTTCAGATGGGTTACTCTCAAGCATGTCTGCTTACGGTTGCGTACATGTTTTCAGTAGCAGAGGGGCTCCAGGACGCACCTGCAGTCTCTGACAGGAGGGAACCGTCTCCTCTTTTTGTTACACTGACTTTGCATAGAAATCTAAAATCCAAGAGCTAAAGCCATTGTGATCTTGTGAAAGAACTGGGCACGTTCAGTGTATTTGATCAGATAAACTATGTCAATCTGCTGCTGTTCATGCTGAATAGACAGTGTCATAGCAACTGGGATTTTGTGTTATAAGATTTCACAACAATTCTATGGCTATTCATTACGTCTGATTGGTACTTTTAGAAATGCCTGAGGAAGTTCAGACATGTACGTTACTGCTGGGCAAGGAAATTATATATAGAAAAGGAAAAGATGTACTGGGCTCACCTCCCACAAACGACAAGTTTTGGTGGTATTTCAAATGCTAGAGACAGGATAAGACTAAGGAAATAGTACTAGGGAACAGAGGTATGCCATTCTGTCTCATGTGGCTAGCAAGGATAAATGGTCCAGGTTAGTGTGCATTGATGCAGAAGAACAGTTTAGTATCTCCCACGGTTGCCACAGAAAACTAAGGAATTCAAAGTATGGTGGTTAAAGGTGTCATTTTTAAATAGTCACCTAGCTGTTTTCCTCCCCAAGAAATGTGTTTGATATTTGATGCAGTTATGAGCTATCTAGTGAACACAACAGAGGTTTGAGAGCTAAGACACCTGGCTTCTCTTCCTAACTTGGTCTCTGGGTTGCTGTGAGACATTGGGTATGTCATTTAACCTTTTCTGCAGTGCCTTATTTTTATTCCTGGCAAAATTAAGATACTTTCCTCATCGAGCAGTTGGGAGGCTAAATTAACATTATTAAAGGGCTCAAAAATCTTTGGATGAAAAGTCTCCAATTGCTAGTCTAAGCAGGGTCTGAACGAGCTCTCCCCTGACATCTAGTGATGAGCTGGGGAAGAGGACTTCAGGAGCCAACCTTGTTTGCGTGGACACACCCACTCTACCTAGGTGCGCAGCATGATGGAGCTGCTTTGCCCAAATGATCGCTTTTGGTGGGTGTTGGATTACAAGTCACTTTGATAACAACGGGTTGTTATCCTTGTTGTGTGAATCAGGGCAGTAGAACTGCACTTGCTAAGCAGGGGGTAGGGGTGCCAAAGCCTAGTAGAGATAAGAGAGGGTGGGGACAGATGCTTATGCCTGGTCATGTGGACTCTCCCTAAGGATCCTAGACATCATTTGATCCTTTCCCTCCCCACTGTGTAATAACAGAGCTGATTAAGTTTCCATTGAGATTCTTTTGTTGCAGACCAATAGAGCTGAAATCACCAATAACCAGGTCTAAGCATTAGAGCTGCTTTGGGACAATGTCTCCGATGAAAGAAACTGTCCAGCCTGCACTAGCCGTGAGGCTCCCCCACTAACAGCTGAAATCACTGAGAGCTGTGTTAAGTGGTGGGACCTCAAGACATCTCAGAGGGTGCGGAGTGCTGAGCGGCTGGCAGAGCAGCTGATGCCAGAGTGAGTGCCTGGACAGCGGAGCGAACAAGGTGCCTTCCTCTTACCCCAGGGTGGGAGGTGAACGTGCACAGATGCACATGAATTCTAGGTCTACAACTATGAGTGGGGTGCACTGGAGGAAGAAGGGAGAGGCATATTAAAGGAACTCTTGGTTGTTGGATTTAAGAACCTGAGGCAAAAGGCACTGCCCAACGTACTCGGGGGTGGGTGTTTTACTCATGGTTTGATGCTTATGAATCCTGCTTGTGGAGTTTTCCCAAGTTAATGCAACGATACTTTCTTCCTTTTTCTTAAAAGTTTCTTTTCTACACTCAGACTCTGTCCTTGCGAGAGGGGAAGTATTGCCTCTTAGAGGCACCCAGAAGGTGGTATGTAATTTTCCAAGGTTACTGAGTAAGGACTCAAACTGGTTCTAAGTTGTATTTTTGAAAAAGAACCCCTACGTATTAAAGCCAGCCCTTGTCACGGACAACTCCACCTGGCAGAAGGATTACACTGGTATTTGGGATCGATCTATGCAGGGTCACCTTCTCTAGTCTATCCTCCTTTTTATCACAGAAGCATCAATTTATTTAGTTTGAAACTATTCTTGTCTCATTTGTTAAACACTGGCAATGTGCTCTGCACAGTGTAGACAGATGCTGCCCCAAAGAGTTTGCAGTCTAAGAAAGCCCACAGGGAGAAGGTTTTTTGGTAATTTTAATAGCTAGTTCACTTCTTGCCTGCATCCTTAAGGAGAGACATGGGGGCAGAGAGTGGCAGCATTGGAAACTGGGAGGACGAGCATTTCATGTGCAACTGGAGCTGGGGGTAAAGGAACATAGGGGGGAAAATGGAAAAACGAGACAAATGGGGTCTTGAAATTGGTATCAGTGGCAGAGCTACATAACAAAAAGACAAGAGTGGAGATGCAGACCAAGTCCAAGTTGTGCAAAGCTTTGAAGGCAAGGGTAAAGTTTAAAACTAAGTGCAATGAAAAACAGGGACCCATGTGATCATATCAATGGCCAAACTGATACGGGTGTCAAGTTTAGCCTTGAAGCAAAACTTCCCTTGTTCTATCTTATCTTTCCTATTGCACTCTCCATTGGTCTCATGCCACTAACAGATGAAAATAAAAATGACATTTAATATCCAGGAAACTGGTGTGAAAAATATAATCCAGGTTGAAAGTGCAAGCACCGTTTTTTCCCCTGACCAGATAGACCTTACTTCCTATTGAGCACTATACTGTCAGCAGTCTGAAATTGGGAAAGCTGAAGTGAGTGAGGGGGGAGGGATAGCTCAGTGCTTTGAGCATTGGCCTACTAAACCCAGGGTTGTGAGTTTAATCCTTGAGGGGGCCACTTAGGGATCTGGGGCAAAATCAGTACTTGGTCCTGCTAGTGAAGGCAGGGGGCTGGACTCAATGACCTTTCAGGGTCCCTTCCAGTTCTAGGAGATAGGATAGCGCCATATATTATTCACCTGTAATACCGCTCGCTAATAGAAATTATGGTATCTTTAGATCACAAAATGTGGCAATCACCCTGCCAATGCCCTGTAGAGGTGGCATGAGAGAAACTCACTACATATTACTGCTGTGCTCTGCTACCGCAACACAGAAAAGCACATTTTAGTTTTAGCTTCTATGTTTGTTTGCTCTGCTTAAAAATAACTAGAAAGACATTAAACTGTAATAAATTCCTTCAGCATTTTAGCGACATGATATTAGCTCTGGAATGAATGACTCCTATACGCTCTGGCTTACATACTCTAGTATTTAGTACAAAATCGTAAGTTGAAATAGAGCAGATCTTTAGGAAGAAACATCCAATCTTGATCAGTGCTCAAGATGGTCAAACGAAACTTCCAGATTTCAGAGTTTCTGATACAGCAATTCCAGCTCTGACTAATAACTGTGCGAGGCACACTGTCAGGAGATTGAGGTGGCCAAAGTGTACAGATCACAGAGCACTACCGTGTAGATTATGGGCCCCTTCATCTTTACAAACGAGTTAATCTACAACCATGAAAGGTCTCAGCATACATTATTCCAGCTTAGTCTGACTAACTACCTATTTGCTCAGCATTAGGCAAATGTAGGTACAGCTCTACATTTATAGACTCCAAGGCCAGAAGGGAGCATTGTGATCATCTAGTCTGATGTCCTGTATAACACAGGCCAGAGAATTTACCCCAAATAATTTTTAGAGCAGATCTTTTAGAAAAGCATCCAATCTTGATTTAGAAATGGTCAGTGATGGAGAATCCACCACAACCTTTGGCAAATTGTTCCAATGGGTAATTACCCTCACTGTCAAAAATTCAACTTCCAGCCATTGGATAGTGTTAGACCTTTCTCTCCTAGACCGAAGAGCCAATTATCAAGTATTTGTTCCCCATGTACATACTTTTAAACTGCGATCAAGTCACGTCTTTACTAGCTCTTTGATAATCTAAACCAGGGGCCGGCAACCTATGGCACGCGTGCCAAACACGGCACACGAGCCGATTTTGAATGGCACGTGGCTGCCTGCCGCGGTTCCAACCCCCAGCCACACTCAGCACCCCCACCCATCACTCTCCCCTGCTGGGGCAGGAGGCAGAAGCTTCGTCTTGCAGCAGCCAAGCTCCCGCCCTCCCCCGGCCGTGGTGCAGCCTGCTTTCCTGCCCCTCCTCCTCTCCTTTCCTGCGCCGGCCTTTGCAAAGGGAGGGGGGAGGAGTGGCAGCGTGCTCGCTGCTCCGCAAAAGCCCCGAGGCCCCGCTCTCCTGGCCTGAGCTCCAGCCGGCGTGTGGCAGCCCCACGGCC